CACTCTCTCTCTAAAAATAAAAAATCAATGGAAAAAATATCCACGAGTGAGAATTAACAACAACAACAACAAAGTAATAGAACTTGGCAGACACCTTGTAGGCCCTCCCCAAGCCTCCCGGTCAGAACTTCCTCCCTCTCCCACAGGGAATCGTGGCTTGGCTTTCATGTTACCACTCCTATATCAGTTGCACTTTTACCGCTATACGATTATCATGATGAAGCGTATAGCTTGGTTTGTGTGTGCATTTCAAGTGGCGGGAGACCAAGACACTATTTTGACCCAGTGATTCTCTAGTTTTCTTTACTGTTAGTTCTCTGACTAAAACTTGAAAACCAGTGATTCCAAAGTCCTCAATTCCTTACTGCATGTCTGAGGAGTTTTTTAAAATCCCAGTCCATAGACTGCACCCTAGAGCGATCATATGAATATATTTAAGTGCATCCCAGCTGACTCTGACGTGTGTGCAGCGTGAAGAGCCACTGGTCTGCATCAGTTCCTCGGCCTGGGCACATGTGGGGCCAGATGTTCTGTTATGAGGGCTGTTCTGTGCACTGTCGGGATCCAGCTGCATCTCTGCCTCTACCCACCAGATGCTGTGACAACTCCCACACACCCTAACAGTAGTGACACCAACAGTGTCCCCCAACATTGCCAAATGTGTAGTCGCTGGACACCCACAGTTCTAGGTGGGATGAAGTAGCTGCAACAGGGCTGTGGATTCAATATGAGAACAATTCCTATTAGTATGAAAACCATCTTTCCAACAAGCAGGTGCATGACATTAGAATGTACTATTTCCAGGGTGGCGATGGCCTATTGTATTAGTCAGCTGGGGCTGCCGTAGCAAAATGCCACAGCGTGGGTCCCTTAAACCACAAACACTTATTTTTTTATAGTCTTGGAAGCTCGGAGTCCAAGTCCAGGGCATGAGCGGGGAAGGTTTCTCCCGAGCCCTCCCTCCTTGGCTTCCAGACGGCCACCTTCACTGTGCCCTCACAGGGCCTTTCCTCCATGCACACACATCCCTCCTGTCTCCTTGTGTGTCCAAATCGCCTCTTCTTATAGGAACACCAGTCATATTGGATGAGGGTTGGCTCATATGACCTTATTTAACCTTAATCACCTCCTTAGAGTCCCCAAATACAGCCACATTCTGAGGGACTGGCTGGTTAGGACTTCAACAGGTGAACTTTAGGGGGTGAGGGGCACAATTCAACCCATGACATCTATCAGTGCAAGACAATGGCTTGAGAGTCACTTACCGGGGATGCTGTGGGGCAGCTTTGTTCTCTACTGCATGCAGGCGGTGACCAGTCTGGTGACCTTCTAATTAGGAGATTCTGTGCTTCTGGGAGAAAGGCAGAATGAATTCCAACCGGAGAAACCAGTGAAAGCAGTCCAACCTACAGAATGGGTTGTAGAACTGTATACCTGAATTCTCTATAATTTTATTAACCGATATTATCCAATAAATTCAATTGAAAAGTATAAAAGAATGAATGAATAAATGAATTAATTAATTAATATTTATCTTTTGTTCTTATTAAAAAAAGAAAGAAAACAATGGAAGCCTTATGGAGTGGCCACCATTTCAACCTGACGTTGAAACAGCGGCCAGGGAGACAGGGCTGCCGGGATTCAGGTCGGGCAGGCATAGCGCACAGCATGGGAGGCGGGAGAGTTCGGACGTGCTCCTGAAGTCGGCAAGACACTTAAGCATGGGCATAAAAAGTCCCATTAAAAAGTTAGCACATTGGTTTAAAAACAAGGATACATAGTTAACGTATCCTAAACTATGTAGAGTGTTAACAGTGAATAAAGTAATTAATTGGCCAAAACTGGCTGAATTTGGAACATGAATGCTCAAAATAGGAGTTAAAATTTGTGAGTTAATTTTTTAAAAAAGATACTAGTAGCCCTGGCCAGGTGGCTCAGTTGGTTGAGTGTTGTCCTGTGCACCGAAAGGTTGGGGGTTCAATTCCCGGCCAGAGAGTGTCCAGGCCACCAATCGATGTTTCTTTCTCACATCGATGTTTCTCTCTCTCTATCTCTCCCCTCTCTCTCTAAAATCAGTAAAAAGACATTCTCAGTGTAGATTATTTTTAAAAAGACATAAGTATTTGTGGAGCAGAGCATGTGTGTTTTGGCAACAGTGTGAGGTGGAAGAGTCCTTATTTGGGCACAAACTAGGATTCTCTGTACAGACAAAGCTCTCTGGGCAGAAGAAAACCCCACTCACAGCCCTGCTGTTCATCCTCAGCTTTGGTTTGGCCACAGCAAGCACAGCCCTCAGACGCAGGGCACAGCCCTCAGACGCAGGGCACAGCCCTCAGGTGCAGGGCACAGCCCTCAGATGCAGGACACAGGGCATAGTCCTCAGACACAGGGCACAGCCCTCAGACACAGGGCACAGCCCTCAAGCGCAGGGCACAGCCCTCAGACACAGGGCACAGCCCTCAGATGCAGGGCACAGGGCACAGCCCTCAGACACCAGGCACAGGGCACAGCCCTCAGGCGCAGGGCACAGGGCACAGCCCTCAGGCACAGGGCACAGGGCACAGCCCTCAGGCGCAGGGCACAGGGCACAGCCCTCAGACGCAGGGCACAGGGCACAGGGCACAGCCCTCAGACGCAGGGCACAGGGCACAGCCCTCAGACGCAGGGCGCTCTTCAAACGCCTCTTCATGAGCCGCCCCGGAGGTCAAGTGCAGGCAGAGTCTGTGCGAGGGCAAAGCCTCGGCATCGCTCTGCAAAGGGCTGTTTGTCCTGCTTCCCCAAATGTCCTCAAGCCACGCTGTCTGCAAGCCGGGAGCCTAACGCGTTTTCTCTCCCCCCACAGGCGCTGGCCTCCTCATGTCCCTGCACCGCAGGTACCCCGAGTACGACTGCGTCAAGAAGGGCGGCACCTGCAACTTCTCCCCATGCCCGCTGTTCACCTCCATGGTCGGCTTCTGCTACCAGGGGAAGGCCAAGTGCTGCCTCTGAGCCGCAGGCCGCGGGCAGAAGCCACCTGAACTAGTTGTAGGCCTTGTTTTACTAAAAGAAAACCTTTTTTTTTAAACACACCTCCTTCGGGCCAAAAAGAATCTGTGTCTCCTTTGGAAGAGGTTAGGAAAGCAGGGTGGTTAGAAGAGAGCCGGGGCAGGACGCAAAGCCTGGGAGCTCAGGACCGGGGCGGTGACAGGGCCAGAGTGACGTCACCTCCTCCTCCTGTTATTACCAAACGAGCATGAGAGCGACACAGAGGGGCCTGGTGCAATCAAGAATATGTGATGCGGGGACAGATGACACCACTTCGGGCCCTCCTCGGGCCCAGCAAGGTCTCACCCCAAATCCCGTGCCCGCAGCTGCCTGGGCCTGGGACGGTGGGCTGGTCAAGCTTAGCATCCAAGGAGCTCTGGTGTGACTGCAAGATGACTCCCCTTCCATCCCGCTCTCTAACCTAACGCCTGGGTTCCTAGATGACGATTTTTGATTCTGCCCCAATCGCGTAACCTGGTTACATGTCGCTCAAAGAACACCTGTCGTGACCATTCCTGCACCAATCAGCCCGCAGACACCTGCTGGTGGAGAGACTGGTCACCTTCCCTTTCTTCCAATCAGTGTCCAACTGATGAAGCCCCACTGCCTCCTGATGGGCAATTTCACCCTCCCTGTGTCCATAGCTAGATCGTGGGCACATGAAAGTCAACCGTTGTAAAATGTTTGCCCTCGCCCCCCGGGGTCGATTGAGACACAGCACCCCTCTTTTGGGAGGAGAAGGCAGAGAGGAAATGCCCATTTGTGTTGTACAAGTTAACCTGTACTCGGGCAGGCTCAGTGACATGTCTACAACCTGTGGTCTCCACGGCCACGCGTCCAGGCCTCTCTCTGCCCTGGGAAAGCTAAGAAATCCTATGTCTGGTGCCAGGTGGGTGCTGGCAGTGTTGGGGGACCACTTTGTACAGTGTGTGATTGGCTAACCACCATGCTATACACCTGAAACTAATACTAAATAATACTGAATATCAACTGTAATTGAGAAAAAAAAAAATATTAAAATAAAATAAAAACTTTTTAAATTAAAAAAAAAACACCTAAGGTATGTTTACACCATGGAATAGTATGCAGTTGTAAAAAAGACGTATCTTTTACCCTATAAGATGCTATGGAGGGACCCAGAGAGTATTATGCTGAGTGAAATAAGCCAGTTAGAGAAAGGCAAGTCCCACATGATCCCTCTCCTATGTGGAATCTAATGAACAAAACAGACTGATGATCATATAGATCTAGAGACATGGAAACATGGGACAGACTGAGGCATCTCAGGGGAAGGCGGGTGGGGGATTAACCTAAGAAGTTATATGCATTTATGCATAGCCCATGGACACAGACAGTAGTGTGGTGAAGGCCGGGGGGGGGGTCAGTGAGGGGGGACATCTGCAGTACTTTTGACAATAATGATTTAAAAAAAAAAAAAGGCTAAGCAATCCCCCAACCACTCTGTCTTGGGAGGAAGCTTCAGATTTGCTACCAACCTCTAGATCTCAAGCTAAAAGCAGGTTCCCAGCCGAGTGTCTTGGTTTCCCAAGACCTGACTCCTGAGGCATCAAAACCCCCGTCCCCGTGTCTACCTCACGCCCTGGTTCACCGGGCTGTCTCGGGCGCACGAGGGCCTGCTCACCTGGCCCGCCGGGAGCTCTCCAAGCGACCAAAAGCCATTTTTATGAATCCCCAACCCCCAAGATGTCACTGCCTCTCAGGAACACGATGATATGAGCACTGTCCCCAGAAACAGGCTCAGAAGCAGAAAGACTAGAGGACTCTTGCAGCCCTTCCCACCCTGGTGACAGCCGGCCCCAGAGCTCACGTTACTCCCAACCCACAAGTCGTAAAAGGGACGGCAGCAGATGCGGCTGTTGTCTTCTCTCATGTCCCCCGGCCCCCTTGCCTTCTGCCCTCCACCCAGAGCTCAAGCCTACAGCTTACGGAGCCCCCCAACCCAGCACTGCCCACCCCTGTCCCCCCAGGATGAGCCCTTGCAGTTTCTCTGTCCCCTTGGCAGGACCATCAGAGTGTCCTCCTTTCTCCCTGAGGGTGACCTCTGATTTCTTAACAACCCACTGTCCCCCCAGGGCCTTCCCGGGGCTGGGCTTGACTGGCCCCAGGCTGCTCAGGAGGCTGGCATGAGCTGCCCACATCTGGCTACCTTGGTCCCCAACATTAAATGACCAGCAAGGACCACCGCCATCTCTGCAGTGTGTCAGCAAAGCTTTCCCTTGGAAACGCCAACCCAGCAGGGGCCTAAACCTTCCCCTTGCTCCTGTCTCCTGCCTACTCACCCCTCGCGTCTCCCCCATGCGGCCCACCCCCAGAACCTAGGAGCGTGATGAACCTTGTCACCTGAGCCTCTCCTCTGGCTCCTCTGCGGTCACACCTGACTGACCATCTCAGGAAGGAACCCAGAACGCTGGGCCATAGAGCAGCAGTGTGGTGACAGGTGAGCCGGGACTTAGGAGACGCCCCCGGCCTGGCTGGCTGGCGGGCTGTCCGGGGCCGCGGCCCCGGGAAGGCTGGCTCACCTGCTGGCCAGCCTGACTCCTGTGCACACTGCGCTGCCTCGCTGGGTCCCCAGGGCCTCCCACCTGAATGTGGGTCTGGTCCTTCAAGAAGGCCGAGGTCCCACCTCCGTCAGCCCTGACTCCTGGCCCTCCTGGGGGAGCGGGGGGGGGACGGGGGGGGACAGGCTGCCTAATTAAATAAAACTATTGCAAAGCTCCACTAGGATGGAGGGGACAGTGGAAACATGACCTGCCCCATGGCTGCCCAGGCTCACAGGGGTCAGGTGCCGGCTGGTTCCTGCACAGGTGAGAGCTGATGACACTTACAAAATGGGACCTCGCGGACCCCAGATAAAGTAATTTGGTCAAATGTAAGTTGGAATCAAGACTTAAAACTTACTATATGAAATGTAATGGATAAGGGGGTGACTGTGCCCACTGCCTCTCCATTTGCCGACCCGATCTTGCTTGGTCTTAAGTCTGGAGAAAGTAAAGGCCCTTCACGGTGGATTACCACAACCCCAAGGCTGTGATTCCGTCCATCGGGGCCCCGGGGCCCAGTAACCGATATTACTAAAGTTACTAATGCTGGCCCTGGCTCTGTGCTCAGTGGTTAGAGCACTGGCCCGAGCACCGAAGGGTCTTGGGTTTGATTCCCAGTCAAGGGCACATACCTGGGTTGCAAGTTCCATCCTGGGCCCCAGCTGAGACTCTTGCGGAAGGCAACCAATCGATGTGCCTCTCTCACACCAGTGTCCCTCTGTCTCTCTCGCTCTCTCTCACCTTCCACCCCTCCTTTCCACTCTCTCTAAAAAAAAAAAAAAAAAATCAATGGAAAAAAAAAAATATCCTCCTGTGAGGATTAACAAAAATTCCCTCGGGGAAAAGCTCAGTGGAGAATCGATCCTAGAGGGCTGGGGCTGACACCCGCCGAGCCCACGACCAAGCCTGTCCTTGCTAAAGGTGGGTCTCCTGTGTGGCGTACAGGAGGGACCCAGCACCACCTGTGCAATGTTCTGGCCAAGAACAGCTGAACCTGAAACTAACTGAGTCTTTAGACCTAACACTTGACAGGAAATACAGAAGTTAGAGAAACAAGTAAAACAACAGCTCAGGGAAGCACCCGTCAAACCCAGAACGTGAGACACCCTGCCAGACAGGTGACGCAGTTCCCGGGGGCCCAGCAGCGGGAGAAACGGGAGGGAGAAGAGGCCGAGCGGCCCCTGCGGCCTCGTTTGGACCCGGGTTGGACAGATCGACTGCAGACGGGGACTTGAGACAGTCAGATGGGGTTAAACCTGGATGGGAAGCAGTGAAGGCTGCGAGTTAGATTAGGTGTGGCCAGGACAGGGCAGATGTTGGAGGAGAAACAGCCACATCAGTTCAAGCCGCACGCTGAAGTACTGACACTGAAAATGCCCAGTTGTCACGTCGGCTAGACTGACCGGTAACTGGGAACCGCCCCAGTGAGACACGCCTCGCCCCCTACACGCAGGCTCTCTCCTGACCCTGAGGTCTGGCTTGTTTTAACCTCTGCAGACTGTGGCCTCCTGGCCCCCGACCCAGGGTGCAGACCTCAGTCGTTCGTTAGTCACACATCACCTTCCTTCCCGGCACATGCACCCCGAGCTTCCCCCTCTGAGCCACGCAGGGACCCCGTTCATTGGTGTGTTTCCCCTAATGACAAGAAAACGGGCTCAGGAAGTGCAAATCCACCAGAAACCAAAGGAGCCCCTCCCCCAGCCTGGCTGTGTCCCAGTGCCCATTCCTGCCCCCCGCCGTGGGCATGGGCGGGACAGAGGGCCCTGCCCAGTCCCTGGCCTGCACCAGAGTTCCCGTTTGGGGCTTAGTCACTGGCCCAGCAACTCCACTCTGTGCAAACCACGTCCAGTGTGGTAGAGCCTTCCTGTCACCCAGGCATCCAAAACCCGTCTGAGGACAGCAGTGACTTGGGGGGCGGAGGGGCCATGTCACCACATTCAGCCCTGAGGACTATTCTCGCCTCTGCCTTCGCCACACGGCAGTGGGCTTGTCCTCTGTGCTCACATTCCGTTTCATCTCCTTTGCATTGAGCCCCTGAGTCCATCTCCATTTGGATCTGCTCTCTCCAGCCACAGGGACGTCTGCTCCCAGCATCCAGGGCCGGCCACCAAAGCAGGCCATGTGGAGGTCCAGGTGGCGGAGGGACCACTCTCTGATCTTTAGGTCACACAGACCTGGGTCTCTGGACCAGCGCCTCACCTTCCCTGAACCCCGGGGTTGAGGTGGGGACTCGGGGAGATACCGTGTGAATAGCACTGACCGAGTCTGGTCCTGACATGCACAGCAGCAGGGACTTGGGGTGGCAGCTCCCTTCCTGTTCCCGGACTCGCTCTTGGAAGCGGGCGTGGGAAGGAGAACGGTGCGTTACCCCGTCCGGCTGGTCAGTGATCTGGAGCCTGGTGGCCCATCTGCTCGTGGCTCCTCCAGCGCCTGGTCCACCCATGGCCTCAACAAGCTGGTTTTTCTACTCCTGTGGGTTGAAGAGCCTCCATCCGTGACCCAAGTGTGACTCAGGCTGAATCAGAACCCAGGTCCCAGGGAGGAGCTACCTGCCTGCAATCAGACTCAAGATCGCAGAACCAGGAAAAATGATCGCCAATGAACCTGAGAAAGGAAACCACCGGCTGGGAGCCCCAGCCCC